ATTAGGTCAACATATTTAATAAGCATAAAATTAATCTAATTTAACCTAATTTACAGTATGATTAAGCATGCATTAATTAAATAAATATAAACTATATATTAAATACTATATTAATTAATATAATAAATAATAACAAGGTAATTAACATAGACATACCTTTTCGGCCACCGGTGCCGTCAGAATGACATGAGTACCGCCCGGGACACCGGTATATAATGGAATATATCTAGGTCATTAGTGTTAAATACTATTCACACCATATTTACCGTAATGTTAAACATATATGCCATAACAATGTTGTCACAAATACTCGCACTAGGGGTATATGCGGGTAATTGTTGACTAACTAAACTAGGTCAAACTTTAACACACTTTACATACAATTAATGCCGGCGTTTTGTCGGACGACGAGTACAATGAGTGGCTTATGTTTGGGACAATTGTACGAAACACTCGTATGTTCGTACGTGCGAAGTAAAGCACCCCTGTTAGTTGGGTCCGTTGGACGGCCCCCCCAAACAGCCACACCAGTCAGCCTCCTCCTTGACGGGGTGAATCACTTGGACCACCTTTCTGTACGGGGTGATAATCTCTCTCAGCTCCTGGATCACGGGCTTTACCACCTCGTACACCATTTTATGGGGTTCATCGTGGGATTCTGACTTCTGGTAACTGCCCTTGGTGCCACGGTGTTGTTGTTTGACATAGACGGGCGACGATTGTGTCTTGAATGTGAGGTACACGGGTAGGAAACCGCCGGGTACGTCAACATAGGTCGAGTGGTCTTCGGTGTGCGACGGCGTGTGAATCACCTCTAAGTCGTGTTTGGATTTGACGGGCAGTTTGATGGAGTGGTGACCGCCGTATCCGTCGTTATTACCGCCATTACCGCCGCCGTAGCCATACTTGGAGGCCGAGCACACGCCCAGTATAACCGATAGTTTAATATATAATATAATAATCAACCACGTGATAATAATTGTAAAATATATATTACTTTTGTTGTACATTAATATTAATTACAGTTTTTAGAACTAATTAAATAGCCGAGGTTACCAAATTTTAAATCGCTACAATTTTTTGATTGTTTTAACAATAATTTTGTTTGTTAATAAATATAAATAAATATACTTTGTAAAAATAAACTTGTATTTTAGAAACAAATACCACCGGTATTTATACAATAAAATTACAATTAAATACAAAATAACAAACAATTAATACAAAAAAAAGGAAACTCCAATGACTTATCTATAAACTGTAATAGATATACAAAAAAAAGTAAAAAATAAAACAAAAAAAAAACACAGTACCCCTAGCGGGACTTGAACCTGCAATCTTCGGTTTAGGAGACCGATGCCTTATCCATTAGGTTACAGGGGGTATCAGTTTCTATTGTTGCTAACATACGCTGGCATTCGTGGCGTTCATTCATTGCTCGGTACATAGAGTATTGTAAAACACCATTAAATAACATGGGATTTAAATTATTTACAATACAATATACATTATGTACAGTCGTTATAATAAACCAATTTTACCAGAATAAAATATATTTATTTATTTTATTTTTATATTCTCTATACTTGTTAAATACTGTATAAGTTATAACATAAAACAATAACAATAATAATAATACCTATTTTTGTCTGTATTTTTACCCCGTTGTGGTTAATATACAGTAATATTTTTAGTGCTTTTTAACCTTCATTATATAACTTTACAAATATATAACACAATAGTCAACCGATTTGTTTAAGTTGTGTTTAATATGTATTATATTTGTTTATTATTAGTGCTTTATCTGTGTTAAACCATTTGTAGGCACGAGTATTACCTAAATCTCAAGAACCGGTTCCTTCTCTTATATACTTGTGTCGTATAGTATGCACTGTATTTACGCATAACCCTGACCCGCGGGCTATGACACTTGTCTGTGAGAGAGAGAGAGAGAGAGATGTAATATATTTGTTTGAAAGGCAACAATAAATTACAAACTAGTTTTTTACTTGTATTTATAATCTGACATACAGTTCCTGATTATACAATGTATGACACAAAACACAGTAAGCTGATTTAGTTAATCATAACATAACAAAATACAAATAATTAAAAAATACATTGTATTTTTTTGCAATATATCGATGTTTTGTCTGTATATTGTCCTTAATTATTAAGTAACATATAAAATACAATTTGTTTGTGATTTATCATGATTGTTTAGTGAAATTATGTATAAAGTGTAGTGTGTGTGTGTGTGTGTGTAATGTTCAGTGTAATACAGTTTATTACAAATTATTTAAGTTTATTATCGGCACTAACTGTGGCGCTAACCCTAACAGCAAAGTGAATGGCATCAAAAAACTGTCTAGTTAAATACCTAGAAGCAGTGGTAACCCTGTGTACTACCTCGACCATAATGTGACCGGTAGTGTAACCACATTATACCCGTTCATGATTTACGTCATATTCGGCTTTCCCATCGCGATCGGTACAATCACAATACTATTGATAGCGTTGGGCACAAATATGATACCCGCCATAGCGCTGGCCTACGAGAAAGCCGAGTCAGTTATTATGAAACTGCATTCCAGGAATCTCCGGACAGATGTGTTGGTCACCCGTTCACTACTGTTGAGGTCGTATTTTTAAGTCCTGCCATACGCTTTGCACAGACAGGCAGGCCCGTGGCCCGACCCTAACGACTTCATACCCGACCGATTCCTAAACCCAGTACACCATCCGTACGCTTACATACCCTTTGGTGGTGGACCCCGAGTATGCATTGGACAGAGATTTGCTATGCAAGAGATGCGAATGTGTTTGGCCAAGCTCATACACATATTTGAATTCACCCTGGCACAACCGCCAAAAAATCAATTATTTAGATATATCCATACTTATGTTATATAAAGATCTGCTCGTTAAGCTTAAATCTAGGGATTAGTTTAATAAATAACCACTATACTATTACTAGCTAATATTATATTAATTATACAATATAAGTACCTTATTTTGTGAGTAATTAATTGTAAATAATGTTTTTACTAAATATATTTATTAAACTATTGAATAGGGCGTGCGAGTGTAAACTTATCCTGATCATAATGTAAACTATGCATAAATTTTAATAATGTCTAAAACTAAATATAAAATTACAATTTAAAATATAATTATATATACAGACTATAAAACATATGTAAACTGTATGTGGTATGTATAAAATTTTATATACACAATGAGGGTAAACATTAAATAAATAAATAACCATGTTACATAATACTATGTAATATTATATGTAATATACATTTAAAATATAATTGTTTAAAATAAAACATTAGGATTTTAAGTCATATTAAAATTGCACTTATAGTAGTTGTTATATATTTTTTGTTAATATTATTAATTAATTTTTTAATTCAATTTTGATTTTGAAGACAATCGTTTTAAAAGGTATAAATATAATGTTATTTTAACTAAATAAAATTAAATATAAAATTAATTACTATTATATATTAAAAATTATTTTATATAATATATTTTAGATGAATTACGTTATTATTATCATTATTATTTTGATTTCACCTGGAATAAATTGCATTGATTATGAGCTGGAAGACATGGACGTCATCGATATTATCCCAGATGCTAATACGTCAATCACCAGGGATGTGGGTACTCAAAATGAGCATGGTGATTTATGCGAACACCTTACAGTTACACAGCCTAATCATGGCTTTCATAAATGGGTGATTTTGTTATTTGGTATTTATGTATTTACAGTAATTATTGTGTACATTATTTTAAGCTTTTTTAATTAACAAAATATTGTGTTAATTCATGTTATTATAATAATAATAATAATAATTATTATTATTAACCATTAATTGTATTATTTTTATGATTTATTTTGCGGTTGTTTTGTCCGGTTATTTGGTCAACAAAATTGCGCTATAAAAGTGCTTCAATTATTTTAATTTTAATTGAACTATTATATTTTTGATTATAATTATATTATAGTAATAATTATTATACTTGTCATACAATATTCTTCAATTGTATTATTTAAATATAAGTAATTAATGTAATACATTAACTAATACATTGTCAATAAATATTATTGAGATAGTTAATTTGATCAGGGTGATGTTGAAGAATGCGAGTGTGACGTGCAATGATGGCACAGTTACCGGTTATTACATCCGTCAAAACTACGCGTCCAAGCGTTGGCTCGGGCAATGGTACCGCCCGAGCGCTTGGCGATCTATCATTCTTGGGCTCACGTATTGTTGAGCATGTGATCCGAGAGCTCCTACCCCGCGATCTCACCGATGCTAAACTGCTAATACTAGCTGGGTCATCTGCCGGCGCTGCGGGTGTGATGATTAACCTGGATCGCATTGCCAATTTGCTGACAAGTGAGAGCTCACCGGCACAGGTGATAGGTATCGTTAACTCGGGTTGAATAATGGATAACGAGCCGATTGGGTTACCCAACAGCGCACCTACCGGTGCCTCCAATACTGGTGACAATTATAATAACTAAACATACAGTATTACAATTGTAAATTCATAAACATTTTAATTAAATAAAAATTAATTAATCTCTTTATTTAATTAAATAACAAAAAATACTGTTTTACAAATTTTAATACTTTTTATCGAGAATTGACAAATATAGTCTCATTAATCCATTTAATATGTTTGGAGACCACGGTAAAATACATAGCATGCTCCGGGCGTAAAATACACTTGGTCGTTTTAGCTCGATGGTCCGGCCCGCTAAACACGCCTATCACTACCGCCCGGCCATCCGAGTACTTAATCAGTGTAATTAATTATTTAAATAGAAATGTTATAAGATATTAATAATAATTAATCTAGCTCAATAAATACAGTGCCCGGCGGTCAGCACTCATTTATCGTTTAATAAAACGCCCGTACAATCGCCCCTAGTATAAATAAACAATAAATATACTGTATATATAAATAAATTTAATTTACCATATGTTAAAGAAATTGCCCATGAAGTCATTGTTGGCGTACCGGCGCCACACGTTCACAATCCAGGGCATCTCACCGGGCAGAGCATCTCGGTCATTTCTTATGGGTGCCATGGCATGGTGCCCATGGCTACTGGATCTTGGTCTATTTTTATTGTGTTATGATTTCTACATTTGTTTTGTATTTGTAAATGTGTGTAAGAATATTTAATTATTGTTCATAATTTTTAGATTTGGTATTCTAACCTGGAGAATGAATAAAATGCGCCAATCTCAAACCACCTAGCACACAATTCCTGATGAAACGTATTGTTTTCAGCTTTGCCCAGAAAACCGCATATATCGCCCCCGACTAACGGTATGCCAAACATATTCATATTCATAATTGCTGTAAAAATGCAAAAATAATAATAATTGTCATACTACATTTGAAAAAAGTTTATTACTATAATAAAATAATATTTATTCACAAGGAATAGTCCACTGCATGCTTAAATAGTCTGTATCTATGTCTCCATCCCAGTGCCCGGAGTACTTGCCCTGACTGGGCGATGTGGCCCGGGATATAACAAATGACCGCTTTGTGCTCACTTCTTTCAAAACCCTAAGTTTGATTAATAAAATAATGATTATCAATAAACATGATCAAATATAGCTAAACATAATTTATAAAAACCATAACATAACTTTACTTATTGTAACTTTTAACACACTTACCTGTCAGTAGCTATACCCTCATAAATTGCATACAAATTATGCACATTATATTCGACGCGGGCATAATGTTTGGCAGTCATACAGAGTGTGTGGTGTTGTAGTTTACTCAGTTGTTTTGGTACGTATGGGGGCGACTCAAGTGAGTTACCCTTTGAGCACCCGTTAATCGACGAACTCATACCGTTGGCGATCTCGTTCATGTCATTCCAGGAGACATCGATGGGCACCTGTTTGTAAAACTCCCGGAACTGTTTTGTCCAATTATCAACAGATTTTGGGTGCGAAAAGTCGGGCCAAACTGTTTTGCTCCTCGTGTGCCACGTGTGGCCAACAAATATACCATCGGTGTGGTTCTTAATAAATATATCCATGCTCACTCCATCATCGTATGGTGGGTACGTACCTGGGCATTTTTAAAAATCAGGTTTTAAAACATGTTTAAAAGTTTTGTACTTTTACTGTTTATAAACATAATTATAACAGAAAGCATGTAACTTTAATTTGCATTAATATAAATAGCATGCCGGGTTTATTAACGGGATCGATGCCCGGGTCAATAATGGGCAGGTAATGCATACCAATATCGTGCAAATGTCGGACCCAATCGCCAAACCCGCCCCATCGGTCCTTATCTACCGTGAAGTCATCAAACGTCGGTTTCATATATTCTTTGGCATTCCATTGGGTGCCAAAGGGTATGCCGGCGGCGATCGTGCGCTCAGTTATAACCATTTGAGCGGCCAAAGTGTGCGGTTCACTACAGCACCGGCACTGATGATAGCCCAGACCCCAAAACGGGGGTATTTCAGGCTTACCCACGAGACTGACGTAATCTCAGGCCACATATGCCGGCTGTGGATCCAAAAATATAAACATGTCTAAAATGCCTCCAATGGTCCGCCAAGTGATGGCCGGCTCCGGCTGTAGCAGAATGTCCATAGCATTGGAGTTGTGCAGAAACACACCGTGCGATAGACCGGTGCTGTTGTCCTCGACGTTCAGGTGGAACGGGTGTGAGCCGTACTCCGGGTGCTTTTCTTGTACAAGGTTATCATGATTGAATAGTGTGTATATTTGCTATAAGTTCTTGTGTGTTGGTACTTTAAATAATAATTAAACAATTTTTATTTATCAATATATTATTTACTTTATTAGACAAAAATTACATTGACACATTTATTACAATAAAATAAAACATTTTCAAATATTTATAATTAAACAAAAAAAGCTTAATCAATTAAAATGATTTCGTATTCATAGTGCTGATTATATTTTGGGTTAAATTTAACCCAAATTTCCGAGTCATAAACATTGCCGGTGATCTGCGTGTCGCAACGAGGTACAGTTTTCCCCGGATTCAAATCGATAATCATCTATTTTTAAAATAATTTGATATAATTAATACCGTAAATAAATAACATTTGTATAACAAAAGTGTTTCTTATAGAGAGGTTGCACTGTATTAATACTCACGAATGAGCTTATGTCTCCCGAATCCGATGGGACTATAGCAATGAACTTTCGTGGCCAAGTCTTAACCACAGATACGCGCTTAACCACGCGTTGGTCTCCGTAAGGGCGGCCGCCACGCAGTGTTGTATCTGCTCGGGAGCCGACACTCCTATCGTAGTCAACTACCACATCGTAGAGGCCGCGCACTACATGTGGTTGCGATAGGTCATTATTGGCCAAAAAGTTCTCGATGTGTACAGCCATAACACACGAGTAATTGTCCACAAATTGGTAACAAAACTATGACTGATTCGGCCGATCGAAGGACACTTTGTCGCCGTTCACCAACCGATACGAACTGTACGACTGGAGCTGCACTGCGTTTACAGACAGGCCGTTTGTGGACTAATGATGGTAAAAATAAATGATAATCTAGATTAATTACGGGCTAATACAACTAAATCAATGTGCGATTACGTGCCAGTAATATATGGTTAGGCAAACGTTTGACAAACGTATAGCTCTCTCGCATACTCTCTCTCCCTTTCTCTCTCTCTCTCTCTCTCTCTCTCTCTCTCTCCCTCTCGGGCACTCAATACAGTGAACACAACGCAACCATATAGTGAACAAAACAATACTTACATGCGTATCTATAAACTAAAACAATACACACTTTGAATGCAACACTAATAACGTAAATCTCGTTATAGTGAACAACACTAACACAACAGCCAATCGCTTACGCAATGCATTGCAATCCAATGCTAACCACTGGACATACAAATGACATTCATTACAACACACGTGACCACCAATAAAGGGCGCATGCGGCCCGCGCGAGCGCACTAATCACCCGTCAACGCTCAGTCAGTACACTCTATCTCAGGTATAACGTACACACAATCAACTATAAGATTAAACGCGAACAGATTGTGCTGAACGACACCAATAGTAGTAACAACAGTACCGGCGGTAAGATTAGTGGCGGTATCGGTAGTAGTAGTAGTGGTCACAAGTCTCACGATTGTTACCATCAATCGCATCATAACGAGCACCGACTGCGAGCGCATAGTAAATTATGTAATTTTGATTAACACATACAATATACCTGTGGTGTCGGTCTAACGTTATGAAATAATTTAAGGCAAACTCTCCGACCGACAGCCCGGCGTACAACGCCTGCGAGTTCCATCATGGACCAATCACCGCTGCCATCCAGTTCACAATACAGTCCATAATACAATTATAAATTTAATATAAATATAAATAAATAATTATTTTGTTTAATTAGTATTTCTTATATCTGTTCACTCAGTTTAAAGATTAAAAACATTTAACATTACATTTTTATTTGCATAATTGTATGACTAATAATTGTCTAAATGACTGTAAAAGTATTGTAGGAAGTATTTAAAAACCAATTGAATACAACTATTTTGTAAATGCAATATAAACTGTACAATAAAGTACACATAAACTTATTTGGCTATCAATACATACTGTAAAGTAATAATTATTGTTATTGTCTTAATTGTGTGTTGGATTTGAGTAAATAAACATGTTTAGATTAAGTGTCCATCGCTTGCCTGTTATAATTAAAATATGTTTAGTTGCTTTGTGTGTATTAATAAGTGTAATAAGTTTGTACACGTATTTACACGTAAACAGCAATGAATGCCGAATAATACCGATTAATATTGTGTTATAAGACATTCAAAACACAACACGTGTCGCAAAAGTATCGCCGGATAGCGATTGGAGTGAATTAATTGCTAATAGAGTTTCCATTTATATGGCATTTTTGACCGAAGAATCGGTGGTCAGAATCACATCACTTGTCGACCAGGAATGCGATCTCATAGCAGTCGACTGTCACTTCAGCGAATACAACCAAAGTAGAGTGATCCACAGCACTCACGGCGCTGTGAAAGTACTGGTGGGCAACTATAAGGGCCGAGACAAACACGCGGCGTCGGAAATCCAGTGCCAACTGCCCCGAGAGTACCGAGAGTACTCATTCGCAAATTACGTGACAATCAAATTACCAGACGTTGGCTCTAACGGACATACTATTGAGGTGCGAAAAACTGATTTATATAATAACCCGTCAAACGATTTGCGTTCTGTTATATGCGTAACACCCCTGCACGACACGAGTGACGTCACGGTCATCTTAATTGAGTTCATGGCCTACTATACGGCCAACGGTATCGAGCAATACGTGTTTTACGACTGGGATTCTGACCAAACATTCCGGTCACTCGTATTGAGTATGAATTTTACTCAAATATTGCCGTTTAAATCGCCAATCAATGGCCAGACTATACACTCCTGGGGACAGATGGCCAGCATTAACGACTGCCTACTCCGCCACTCAAATTCACCCGTAATATTCGTAGACATGGATGAGTTTTTTGTTGTCCGGAAAAGTACATCTCCTGACAATAACCGCACAATTCAATCATTAATTGTGCGCGAAATGAGAGACCCGTTTGTATCGTCACTGTTGGTCAACAACCGATACCTGTGCCGCGAATATCAGGTCCGACACACGTTTCCACGCATTTTAAGCCACACTCGACTCCAGTCTAACCTTTGGAGGTCGATCGACAGGTCAAGGTTCATTGTCCTCCGGTCTAACCGTGTGGTCGACGTATGGGTACATGCAGTTTGCATGAGTGTAAGCGGCTTTCACATGAAAGTAATGTCCGACACGGATGTACTGATGTATCACTACCGCATTTCCAACACCACTCGAGTTTAACCCCAAACTATTTGGTTGTCTCTCTCTTCTCTTATTTTTTCTATTTTTATATAAACAATGTTCTAATGATATGAATGACAAACAATTCAAATATTACTGTCAAGAAGTGATTATTCATTTATTCTTGTGATTGTGTCGCTAATGAACAATACATTTATGATTACAGTTGCCATTAAAGTGCTTATAAATATACACTTTAAAAAAATACATGTATTAATGGTGCAAATGAAAGTATAGTCTAATGAGACAAACCCGCAAAAGTCTGGTCGTCATACTCTTCAGTGTTTTCACCACTCATGTGATTGTCTTCATAAGTATTGTTACAATTGTCGCCATAATTGGTTGCCATGTGTTTGTGTCAAGCATTCAAATCATTACAAGTGATTGTTGTCATACTTGAGTCTGAATAAATCAGAATAGGTTACAATGTAGCATGGTCAATTGGTCATGAAGCATTCATAATACAGTATTAGTACAGTGCATTACATAACAATTAACATTACAACACAAAGTTTTGTATCCTACACACTGTATTACTTCTGCCAGTACACATTCTGTATATTATCTAGATAATAAATACTGTAGAGGTTTAAATTGAACTGTAATATTATTTACCAAAAATTGTATCAATTAAATTTTTACCATATATCATAATTATAATTTAAATGATTTATGTAATTAAAAATTAATTATTTATTATTTTTGGTAAATAAATTGACATTATGTTTTTAAATGATTACACGCCTTATTTGACTTAACCTAACACCAAATTTTGTCTAAATTACTTAATAATTTCAATATACAGATATTAAGATGCAAGTCTTGAGTCAATCACAGAAACTGATGTAACATTTTATCTTATAATAAATATAAAAAGTAATTAAAGATTCCTAAAGAGTAAAGAAGTTCAATAAACTTGATCACAATATACAGATATTAAGATGCAAGTCTTGAGTCAATCACAGAAACTGATGTAACATTTTATCTTATAATAAATATAAAAAGTAATTAAAGATTCCTAAAGAGTAAAGAAGTTCAATAAACTTGATCATCAAGAATACTATATTTTTACACAGCGATTGGGTCCAATAATATGGTGTAAATAGATTTGTTAACAATTGTTCACCATTACACTCTATCTCAATCAAAGCAATATATTAGCAAAATTAAGGAATTATCTGTGTAATTAAATTCTTTTTGTTCATAACAGATTTTGTATTAATTATATTAAATATAGTGGGTTTGCGCACCCTGTACACTATAAGCTTAATTTTGCAATTCACCTGACCCAGTTTTGGCCTGATTGTAGTAGTGAAGATCCTATGTGTTGAACACTAGCCACGGCAGGTCATACGTAAGCAACTCACTCGTGGTCATAAATATGAACATAGAGGTGAATATAAGTACGCTAATGTGTCCGTACAGTATAATTATGTTATACATTACATTGAAAACTCAATGAGATTATTTTATATGAGAATCATATAACAATATAATGATATTTTAATAATATATAATTTAATGTGATGATTTTATTGTAATGTATAATCATCAATTTTTATTGTACTATATAACTAGTATCAGTAAAATGCGCGCCAGTATATGGATTTTTAAACAAGTATTATATTATGCTTAATGTGATTTTAATCACAATTCATATTATGGCAATATTAATTGTAACGATATATAGCTATTATTGTAATAATATTATGACCATATTGTTATAAATTATATAATTTAACTAGTTAATATAATATTACAAAAATAATAATTTAAAGCAATTTGATACTAATAAATTAACCTAATTTAAATTTTGGATTATATTTGAGCCGAACGATCCTATAAACTATATTATTTATATCTGAATTGTGGTTTAAAATATAATATTCACAGAATGTTATAAAATATCATTAACTTCATAATATTGTATTGTGTTTGAGTTTAATTATATTAATAGCACAAATGATACTGGAAAGTTCTGTTTAACTAGCTTAAAATTTTTTGTATAAAAGACACAGATCTAAATCAGTTTAAACCGACAAAGTTTTTGTTTTTCAAAATTGTTAAAAATTCCTGTCTAGAAAACTCCATCGTAAATTAATATCACCTAATATAATAAAGTAAGTTTTAAAATATTTTATTTTATTTACATAGTATTAATTGCATTAATTGCAATATGATATACAATTTACTTTACAAATATTGCAGATTAAATGCAATAAGATTTTTATTGACATTGTGCAATATTTAAACTTGTTGACATTTTTAATTTAATTATCATAATATAGTATTGTCAATAGATTAAGTTACAAAATAATTATTGTATTTATTTATTTTGATATATCCGTGTTAATACATAATGCTAGGTTATCCCATAAATTACCATAAATATTTACGATAAAAGTGAAACACATTTAATTAAGTTTGGTCAATAGGGAAAGACACAATAAATATAAATACCGTATTTCAAACTTAACTTACCATTGGTTTGCATTTCTAGACACAACGATGACAATTCACTTATTACACAATTATTAACATTATAATGATATGTATTATTAGTACTATTATTACCATAATAATTATCACATGTATTATTATGATTAAAATTTGTTTAGGGATAACATACATTGTTAGTTTTGCATCACTATCGCAGTTAATTAACTCATCCATGTCTTTGTCGCTCATTATTGAGCGGTATCGATCACAAAATCATATAATTAATTATCAATAGAATTAATATTACATCTAAATTTAAAAATTGCAAAAACACCACTTTATTCGCATGTTATCTCTATGAATGGGTGTGCTTATCATGCATTGTAAATATTAATAATGCACAAATTAATACTTATGGTAAAATAAATTTTTATTATAATTAAACACTTGTTGATTACATTTTTCAAATACATATGATAAAATGATTCACAATTAATTTGTTCACACCATGATTTTATATTATTCGATCATTTTTATTTACTATTCATTAGGGTGAAATACGATATACAATAAAATATTCTTGTTTATTTCACAGTACATACACCCATCAGTTGTATTACAATAAATTGATTAAAATAACCATACACTTTTAGCAATATACAATAGATTAATATTAATCACATGAATTTTAACTGACATGTCATTGATGTTTGATGTTGTTTATAACACTACATTTATACAGTAGTGCTGGTTAAACATACAATGTGTTGGAAAAATTATTATTTTTCAAACAGGTTGTCGTTTTGAACGTAGAATATTGCATTTGATTCATGTAATCTTAAAGTACAGTATAATCATTTAAACAGTGACCACACATTATAGTTTGTAAAACTTGGTGATTATCAATTAATAGATTTGGAGTTATATTAAATTGAGTAAATACATTTATACATATAAATTATTATTTTATAAAACTAAATATTCACAATTAAACAATATGATTTTAATTAAATTACAGTATATAATTGTACGTATCATTTACTTAATACTAAATATTGATGTTCACAAATAAAGTTACATTGATATTAAATAATGTTTAATTAATAAATATTAGATGGACATTCCAAGCGAACAAGGAATATCACGTGATGACTTGAGAGTTTATCCAAAGGTATTTACAATTTATTATATAATTATTATTATTATTATAATTTATATTTATTAAAATACAGTTACCAAAATTCATTGGTATTGGCACTTGTAATTTAAAATCACCACAAATATTATCAACAGATAGTGATATTGATACATTATCTGATAATCAAAAAAAATATTATTCCTTGTATAAATGTACAATATGTGATTTTGCTGAAAATGACCTACATACATTTTCAATGCACAACTTTTTAAACCATTCTAATACCTTATTAGAGTGTTATTATTGCAAGTTTTCTGGGAAATATCGTTCAAGACAATATAACCATGGTCAACTTAATCAACATATTTATAAAAAACACTCTAAACAACAATGGATTTGTTCGCACTGTCCATTTCGCGGGCTGACCAAAATACATACATTGTTACATCAAAGACGAGTCCACATTCGTGTACATAATTGCAAGAGATATAAGCGGAAAAATAAAATACGTTTAAATATGCTGAAAATTATTTACTGGAAAAATGATCAACATAATTATTACGTACGATTTTATACAAATTATTATTACGCAAAAAAGTACCATGTAAAAAAGTATAAACGCTACAATTTTCACCGCCAGTGTTTATATTGCAAGTTCATTGGGTCAACCAAGCTCGTAACTGACCATGTTGCAATAATCCATAGAGATAAGCCCATATTATATTATAAATAATGAATTATATAATCTTATAAATCAATAATCACATTGTAACATTGTTATTTCTATTAATATTTTTTTTTAAAAATCAATATACTATAAATATATTAACATTATATAACCTTAAAAATTATAAAAATCCATAAAAACTATAAAATATAAATAATAATAAAATAAAAAAAAGGTGTTGGTAAAAAATTGTATTTATTTATTTAAATATATTATGATTAACACCAGTATTGGCGGCACCGGTGGGCGCGTTGTTGGGCGATCTAATCGGTTTAATAGCCGGTTGTTTATTATTACTATTATTACTAGTGGTGGTTTTGTTAATCGTGGTCACATACGTGTTGTGTAATTTAACTTAATTGTTATTAGTGCTATTAGTTTTAGTTAAACCATCATGTTCATTTTCAACCAACGGTTTATCACGTTTATTATCTCCAATATTATCGAGTTGATTTATTATTAATAGCATTATTACAACTATTGTTATGATTATTAATGAGTTGCGGTTTAGAAAAATTCAAACATTTATTATTACTATTAATTTTATTATAAGTGTTGGTATTAAACGTGATTTGCTTTATGCTTTGATTATTGTTACTGTTATAATTATATGATTTATTATCACTGTTTTCTAATACCATTTGATACGCGATTTCAAAGGCCTGTCCCGACGTTAGTATTACTTCTGTAACTAAATCCTATGTATTAAACAAATAAAACAATTAATTAATAAAATTATCATGATAATTTATTTCTTTAAACATTAAAAATACTCTCATTACACAAACAGCAGACTTACCGTATTGATTGATGAAAACACATGACAATAATGATTGTTTGTCTCCAACTCTTTGTTTATTTAAGCAAAATGATTGAGATCTTCGCTGTCCTGACAAATGCATTGTATGTTACGTATGGAGTGCTCGCATACCATCAACTATAATAGGGCGGCCAACAATCTCTCACCCTGGTTAATAATATATTACTAATTACAGTTTTATATAGAATAAAATTAATAATATAAATATAGAATTAATAAAATATAAACTAGATTTATTATTAAACTGACAATATTATTAAAATAAACTTTACAATTATTTATACTGATATTTTATTGCGAATTAAATATTAATAAGATTCAATAAAATATAGATAAGTGAAAGATTAAATATCATGACAATTAATTAAATGGTTAAATACAAATAATATTAAAATAATTAAACTAACTATTCTATATAAATTTATATTTTTACTACAGACTAATTAACTAAATATTATTCTCAACCACGTTGCTTAAACAGTCGTTTAGCGTTCATCATATGGGGCTCAAATTTTTGTACGGCTTTTCGGACAACATGTGAGTCCAGACCGTACTTGTGGGCTAACTTTTCGGTCCGATATTGGCACTCAACGGGAGGTTCCGTAAAATCCGTGTTATTATTACCGCCTATTTATTAAATAAAATATTAAAATTTATTAATACATGAAAAACACAAAAATTATTTGTTTAATGATGATAATGAATATTGTAGAGTTATTATTTTAAGTATATACTATTCATTAATAAACAGTGTCATTTACCTAGATATTGGGCTACATTATCCGGGTCAATATAGTCAAACAGTTGTGTGCAATGTGCGGACGCTGTGTGCAACATAGGGGAGTATTTAGACCCCAATAATAGTCGTATGATCGGTATAAATGCTTCCAAAAGCATAGGTAGATTGACCACTAGTACGCAACGAAATGACTCAGGGTAGTATTGTCGCATCACCTTGATCATAAACTTGACGGTACGTTTTTACCGAGGCCGTTTTTAGTTGTTTTGGGAATAAAAACATTGGCTAGGTGAATATTAACAACAATACGCATATAAATACAAAATCAATCCGCCATGCGGCGCACTAGTATTGCTTATACAACATGTCTTAAATATCATGTTAAAAGCAGCAGTACTCGTCTACACCGTCTCTGGTGTAGTGGTTATCACATATGTTTAACACACAGAAGGTCCCAAGTTCGAACCCTCGCATGTACATGGTTACATTTTTTTCTTTTTAATTCTTTATTTTATTATTTTTTTATTTTTAATAATATTATGTAATTGAGGTTTAGCATAATGTATTATTAGAATAATTTTAACTACATAAATTTGAATAAATATTATTGTTATAATTATAAATTTATGATTAAAAAGTTACTCAAATAAATCAATTAATAAAATATAATTAGAAACACATAAATACAAATATTAATACAATTCATAGCCCGTCATCGGAAAGAGATTATAACAATAGTAACCAATCGCCGGTCCGGACAGTCGACTCGCAAACTCCTCCACTTTTAATCTAGTTTTAACCGATAGTCCGGGTGTTTGTGTAAGTAATTTAAATAACAAATTATAAGGTTTACTCGCAGTCTTAGCTATGAATGAACTCATCATAAACGTACCAAGCACTAAACTCAATATAATTACCATTATTATTACGCAATATACTTGTAATGAATATAACACTGGTGATTTATTGTAAATATAATTATGGTTACCCCATACATTATATTAACCTTGTTCATAGTAAACGCCATGCGCAACATAATAGCCATGGTCATACCGTCTATTGAACCTAGGTACTAATCATGGTTATATTTATGGTGATGACTAGTGTAGCTGTTGGGGCGCCGCCTAACACCCACAACTAACGGAGGTGAATTACCTGGCCTCGGTGAATGTCAATTTATAAAATACAGCGGCGTAATTATACGCCGATCGTGAATCCAAACGTACGAGTGTTTTGTACGATTGCCCCCAAACATAAGCCACTCATTTTGTCGCACTATCGGTTATACTGGGCGTGTGCTCGGCCTCCAAGTATGGCTACGGCGGCGGTAATGGCGGTAATAACGACGGATACGGCGGTCACCACTCCATCAAACTGCCCGTCAAATCCAAACACGACTTA